CCCCAAAACCCCAAAACCCCAAAACCCCAAAACCCCTTTCTTGTCTAAAGAAGTTGATTTAAATTTATGTTTGAATTACCTCCAAGCTCTAATAGTTCCATCAGAACTAGCAGAGAAGAGAGTGGAATTTTCCTGATCGATAATTACCGAGTTTACTGCATCATCATGTCCTTTGAGTGTACTTATAATTTCTCCTTTTTCAATATTTATCATTTTAATCGAAGCATCTGCACAACCTACTGCTACAACATTATTCGTTTTATCAAAGCACACAGAATGAGCAATAGAATCTCCTGTATCAAGTTGGACTACTTCTTGAACCATTCTAATATCCCAAACTTTTACAATTCCATCTGAATCTCATGAACTAATCAAATGGCCTGAAATGCTGAAAGCAGCCTCATTGACTGAATTTAAATGCCCATAGAAAGTTTGAATTGTTAGTCCAGTTCTCATATCCCAAACTGAAATAGTTTTGTCTGCACTTGCTGAGACAAAAAAGTTGGTAAATGGCTGAAAATTCACAGAATTTACTGAATCAGTATGACCTCTATAAGCCTGTCGAGATCTCTCGGCATTCACATCAAATAACTTCATTGACCCATCCATAGATCCACTTAGTACAAAATCTCCGGTATCATGAAATTTCACACTCCAAACTGGCTGAGTGTGATCTGTGAATACAACCGAACAACAAGAGTTGATGAAATCCCATATTTTTATCGTAGTATCTCCTCCCGAAGTGACTAGATGAGATCCAGCTGGGTGAAAATCTACACCTGAAAGCCAATTTTTATGTCCTTCGCCTGACAAAATATTTTCTCCATCTTCCATATTCCAAATCTTCCACATTCAGTCATCTGAGACAGTAGCAACGATCTGCTTTTTAAAATGCAAGCACATTCCTCCAATCCCAACATCATGAGCTTTTACAATTTTCTGGCTTGCAGCTTTCACGTTGAAGTCATCATACTCTCTAGCTAGGAAGGGGTTTGGCCTTGCATCATCAGAAGGATAAGGAGTATTCTGTCCTTTCATTTTGAGAATTTGTTTTCCTTTTGCTGCTCCAGAATCCCTGGCTTTTGATTTCTCAATAGCATAAGCAACATCATCTTCCTTCTCTTTAATTCTAGCCTTTATGTCTAAAGCTTTCTTCTGTAGCTTCTCTTTTTCTAATTTCAAAAGAGTCTTTTCCTTGAGAGTGACCTCATACTTCTTCATCAACTCATTAATTTTATCTTCATACTGCTCCTGGAGGTCCCTTAACTTTGACATATTGGAAGTAATCTGCTCTTTTTCTTTTTGTACTCTTTGAGTGTGTGTTTTATGAAAATCTCTTTCCTTTCTCAGCTTTAACCAAGTTGATTTGGCCTTTTCAGCCTTAACTTCCTCTTTTTCTAGTTCAATTTTCATTCTTTGTATTCTCTCTTCCATTCTTGCATTTTTGTTTTCAGTATCTGTAATCAAACCGATGTAGTTATCATTGAAAGTTCCTTTTTTTTGGAGTTGACTCCATTCGTTTTGAAAAATATTCAAAGTCTTGTGCATATTATACTTGGCAAGATAGTTCCGAATAAAATCATCAATCACTACATGTCTTTTGACTACTTTGGGTTTGGATTCGTATTTTGTTTTCATAAACTGTGTTCCTAACTGAGATTTTCCTTGAGTCTGTTTTTCAATTTTCTTAACATCTGTATTATGCTTGAGTCTCTCAAAGTCCTCTAAATCATCTGACTCACTACCATCTTTTAGGAAGATTTGATCATCATCGCTATCCTTGATTTCATTATAGTCATATCCCTCGTCATCATCGACAGAGATCTCAGCCTTCTCGAGAACGAAGACTTCTTCTTTATCTTCACTGCTCATTTATTCGTATAGCTTTCAAATATATTTATTAAATTAGGGGTTTTGGGGTTTTGGGGTTTTGGGGTTTTGGGGTTTTGGGG